GGTGAGTGTAGAGAACCGGAGACCCATTTTACTGTAAAAGAGGCATTCCATCGTAGTCCTCACGGGTAACGACGCATCTGTATTTTGATTCTTTATTGAGGATAAATGTAGATAGTCCAGTCAAAATAGACAAAAATAAGTCATAACTTAGCCGAAATTCGCATTGAGCTGAAAATTGGCAGATACGTTAAATACATCATTATAAATGAAATGTCAAAAATCCCCTTCGATTTTACTTTTTTGATTGCGCAGAAGTATTTACAAAGATTGACTTTACTCCACATGACATCGTTACAAATGGAATTCGTTTTCTTCTTGCAATGTATGGTGCTCCAAAAAATTACTTTAGTTATTAATTACTATTTTTTGTAAATGCAAGATGGATTGTGGTAAGAATTGTGGCTGTCAAAAAGTAGGATTATTTTGTTCGCTAGTATGCATCAATTGTCAGGGTCAGACTTGCTCCAATATTGAAACAAATACAACAGATGAAGATATTTATGATATTAATGAAGAGACAATTGATGCATCCCTTTTCTTAGAACAGCGAACAGAAATTCTGCAAGAAGAAGGAAATGAAGACGAAGAAATAATTGTCGAAGTAGAATTAGACAATTATCTAATATAATAACATTTACAACAAAAAAAAATTTAGAAGAAAACAACCTATTCCACTTTGATCATTAGCAATATTACCATTCTTTCAATCAATAGGGTACGATCTGATCAAACTTTCGTTATTACAATAGATTGTGGAGTATACCTACTGGGGAAACCACCTTAAAAAAATGCGCCAAGTATAGGTGATGCAGAAATGTGTGCATATTATGTAAAATATGAATTTTCTAATTATTAAAACCGCGATATCTCACGAATGGTGAGTCGTAAGAGAAATAGTAACTGGATCATTTTGTAGAAAATTGTAAGATCTCCATTTTTTGTCTCTTTTTATAGGAGAGGGGGCAAACGAGCATACACCTCACCTGATGGTAAGTGACTACCGCCGCTCATGAACAACTGAAACACCAAGGGAACCAGGGTAATTGCAGACGCGTTGCCGGCCTTTTAAAAAGGAGTAAGCTCTTTTCTTGAAGGTCCCTAAGTCGTATCGGTCCGGAAAAATCGCTGATGGTAATCGATTCCACGAGGAAGTTGTGCGAGGAAGAAAACATCTTCTAAATCGCACAGTGGTGGACCGCCAATCATCCATATGGTGTGGATGGTATCGGGAGTTCTGCCGCGATGTGAATTCGTGAAATTTGGCGGCTGGGATTAATCCGAACAATTCCTCAGAGCACTCCCCGTGGTAAATGCGAAAGAAAATGCAAAGGGATGCAACATCTCTTCGCAGTGCCAATGGATCGAGCTGATCGGAAAGGACTCGGTCGTCGACGATTCGAGCCGCTCTGCGCTGGATGCGGTCAAGTGGAAGAAGCTGGCACTGGGGAGCCCCTGCCCAGAGATGGGAACAGTATTCCATGTGAGGCCGAACCTGCGCCTTGTAAAGTTGCAGGCGGTGTGCCGGCATGAAATACTGTCCCGCTCTGCTGAGCACGCCAAGCTTTTTAGAGGCCAACTTGGCCTTCTCTTCCAAGTGACCACGAAACTCCACGTCACTCGATATGTCGACTCCGAGGATTCCGATACTGGCTAAGGCAAGGAGGGGAGTGCCTTGAAACTGAAGAGATACGACAAAGGGGTTCTTTTTAGCGGTAAACGCGCAAACTTGTGTCTTCTGAGGATTAAACTGGACTATATTTAGTCTCCCCCAATCCGAGACTTTGTTCAGCAAAGACTCGACTTCAGACACAAGTTTGTTCCGGTACTCGGCGACGTTTTCCCGAGAAATATTGGCATGGCCGGTGTATAGAGCATCACCAGTGCTGTCATCCGCATAGCAATGAATGTTACCAGTTAGTAACATATCATTGATATGCAGAAGAAACAGCGTTGGTGAAAGCACACAGCCTTGTGGAACACCAGCGTTAATAGGCTTGTAGTCGGAGCATGCACCGTCTACAACGACCTTGATGCTCCGATCTGCAAGGAAGCTGGTGATCCAATTGCACAATTTCTCGGGAAGCCAATAGAAAGGGAGCTTCGAAAGAAGCGCTCTGTGCCAAACTCGATCGAAGGCTTTCGCAAAGTCCAACCTAACGGCCAACGCCTCCCTGCAGCAACCTGCAGAACGCAACCGCGAGGAGAACGTGAGTGGCACCACACTCCAGATCAGACAATGATCCGAAGAGCCGAGAGAGGCATCGACGGAAACCTGATATCCGTCCGGATGAGAGGTCAGCAGAAAGTCCAACAGGGAAGGTGTATGATCCTCCACATCTGGAATCCGCGTAGGCGAAGTAACCAGTTGTGTCAGACCATATGCCAAGGCAAAGTCATAAACAGATTTCCTCGCATGATCGGTTAAACGTGAACCGAGCCATTCGGTGTGGTGGGCGTTAAAATCGCCAAGGATCACGATCTCTGCGGATGGGACCTGGAATCTGTAGCCATTTGGGCGTGGTCGATGAGTCAGTCTGTTTCGGCATTACCGCTATATGACCTATAGAGGCACCGGTAGACGCGCGGATGGTCGTCGCTGTCTACGCGTAGCCAAAGGATGGACAGGTCCGAACCTTCAAGACTGCCGAGGCGTCGAGAACAGATGTCCTCTCTGACATACACGCAAACTCCAGCCCGAGGCACAAAGGAGTGCTCTAATTTGTACCCCGGGTAGGAGAGATACGAAGTATCAGTCGGAGAGGACACCTGCGTCTCGGTCAGAAAGAGCAAGGCCAGCTTCGCCGTCTCGAGATGGTAATGGACGGCGTTTAGGTTCGAGTGAACTCAACCTATTTTCTAAACTATTTTCACGATAAATATTACCGTTTTCGAGAAAAATGGAAAGCACCTTAATTTTGTATGTTTGACCTTGAATAATTTTTTTTTGAAGAAGTAGGATCGAAGGGGATTTTTGACATTTCATTTATAATGATGTATTTAACGTCTCTGCCAATTTTCAGCTCAACGCGAATTTTGGCTAAGTCAAATGTCTATTTTGACTGGACTAAGATGTCTATGGGCCACAGCAACCACTATCAGGTGGACTGTGTGCTCGTTTGTCACCCTATCCTATATAAAAAGAAATTTTATATTCTATCGCTATCGCAGTCGGCGAGAAACAGATAGTTTATATAAGGTATGCATAGATAACTGCAATTTTTAAATTATAAACTTGTTGTTGTAGTTGCGGGCCGCAGGTTCCAATCCCGCACAGAATACATATCTTTTCAACCAATAAATAAATGTTTCGGGTCTGTATGTATGCCAATGAGCAATAAATGCAAAGCCTTTATCCTACTTTTTTAAAAGGGGCTAAGAAAAAAATAAGTGCACAATCAATAATTTTAAATAGTGATATTACAAGTAAGACTAAAATATAAAATAAATAAAACAATACAATAAACAAAAAAAAAATACAATTTGTGGGTACTAGTTCAACAGGAGCGAATGAAAGCTGCAGATTTACTCATGTTTAAGAGTCCATTGCGCAAAGAGAATATAATCACTACGTTTACATGGCAATGGGCAGTCATACAACTCGATGAATTAACAATTAATAGGGAAAAAAAGGTTCTGTGTGGTATTCTCCCAGTGGATAGAGTACCAGAGAGTAGAGTACATGGTAGAGCCGTGCTGCAGCTATATTACTGGTATAGTTGTAGTACGAATGGCTCGGCTCGACCGGGGAAGGACCACGCTCTCACAGAATACCAGCGTATTATAGCTGCTTAATGCTGCTGTGATTCGTTTGGTGAGTGTAGAGAACCGGAGACACCTTTTACTGGAAAAGAGGCATTCCATCTTAGTCCTCACGGGTGACAACGCATCTGCATTTTGATTCGTAAACGAGGGTAGATATAGATGGGAGCCACAGCAACCACTTACCGTCAGGTGGACTGTGTGCCCGTTTGTCACCCTTATCCTATAAAAAAAAAACCTAATACACATGCGGAAGTGACTATATGCATGACCTGATGAAACAAACAGTTGACTAAGCTTGCTTTTTGGGAATCTTTAGGTGAGGCCTAGTTATGTTCAGCTACAGACTTGTGATGGGCTATAATGATGGTTAACTTAAGATACTTAAGATATGACAAGTTTGAAGTTTATATAAGGCACGCTGACATTAATGTGATCATTTGATGGCTTCGCTAAGTAAATAAATCCACCTGATAGCAAGAACCCACTGCAGGTACAGCTTATGAGCACATAAAGCCAACTCTTATCAAGTTCATCAGAGTTGTCAACCGCAAAGACAAAGGTGAAATGCCTTAACTGTTATCATATTGGCTATATTATTCCGACATCATACTTATCCTAGGCATAAAAATTAAACCTACAACCACCTTTATTTTTATGGAATCAGAGTGACAAACGAGCACACATTCCACCTGATGGTAAGTGGTTGCTGTGGCCCATAGACGTCTACATCTTCGTTTGCGAATTAAAATGCAGATGCGTTGTCAGCCGTGAGGACTAAGATAGAATGCCTCTTTTTCAGTAAAAAGGGTCTCCGGTTCTCTTCACTCACCATACGAAACACAGCAGCATTAAGCTGCTATTTTACGCTGGTATTCTGTGAGAGCGTGATCCTTCCCCGGTCGATCAGACCCATTCGTGCTACAACTATACTATTACCACGTAAAAAAGGTGCAGTATTAATATGCTTTATGCATTTTTTAACATTCATTTTGTCAGCTGGTGTCAGTGGCGGTGTAAGAATATCCACTACCACATATCGTTTCGTGGGTATCGTAAGAGGCGACGGAGGGAAACTGAATCAGGAAATAAAAACAATAAAAAAACTGTTGTTGCCAACCCGCTACGGCAGCTACGGCAAAATCTTCCTTATGAGGCAAACTATGGGGAAGGCCTATGTTTAGCAGCGGGCTTTATAGGCTGTAATGGATGGATACATTATTCTCTGTGTATATTTGCAGGTGACGTCCGGCACGCCGGCCGGTCGGGAGCTCGCACGCGGCGACATCATTGCAAAAATCGACGACTACGACGCACGCGACTTACGACACGAAGATGCGCAAAACCTCTTCAAAAACGCCTCCAACCAGATTAAATTGGTTGTGCAGAGGTAATGTTAACATTGCTGCAAATATTCTTAAAGAAAACATGACGTAAGAGCTTCCTTAAAAAAGGCAGAATACTATGTTATAAATTAATAATCTTTCCTCTCCTTGTCTCTCTTGCTCTCGACAACTAGCACGGATGTGTGATATATGATGTACATACACAAAAATAATATCAAACTTTACGTAAAGTATTAATAGCTGGATTCAATATACACGTAACTCGTGAAATTAGTCCGTTTATTTAAAACAGTAACCTCGAGACAGACCTTATGAATTCAAGGAATCAAATATATGATTATTTTTAGAAATCACTACCCCATCTCCATCCCAAGAATAGAATAGAATAGAATAGAATGATTTTTATTCAATATGGATTATTACATAATACTTATTGAAAGTCATTATTTTATTTACCACTGGTTCGGAAAATACCTCTGTCCTGGGAAGAACCAGCAAGAAACCCAGCGGGACTTTTTTTTTTAAACATAATTTCACTTAACAATAATTTTGTTTATACAATTTTAAATGAATTTTCATAGAACCAGCATGGTGGCGATCACCTTATTCCCAGGGGTTATTTTCATTCATGTATTCCTTGATATTATAATAACCCTTTTTGTACAGTTTTTCTTTAATAAAACTTTTAAACTTGTTTATTGACAAACTTTGAACATGTTCTGGGATTCTGTTGTAAAAGCGTATACATTGCCCCATAAATGAATTACTAATTCTGTGGAGTCTTGTAAGTGGCATTACAAGCTTATGTTTGTTCCTAGTGTTTAAGGTATGAACATCCTTATTCTTATTAAAGCTATTTATGTTTTTATGTACATACATTACATTTTCATAAATATATTGCGATGCCAAAGTTAATATGTTTATTTCTTTAAATTTTTCTCTAAGGGACTCTACAATTTAGATTATAAATCGCCCGTACGGCTCTCTTTTGCAAAACAAATATAGCTTCAATATCAGTCGCATTACCCAAGCAAGAGTATCGAAAGTCGAACATGTAGATTATGGAATAACTTTCTCATGTCTCATATAGCCTAGCATTAAAGTATTTCAGATTATTTATAGATTTTGTCGTCGGTTTCAGCTACGGTGATTTCGACTCTGTAATCAAGGGTTACAGTGGTAACCTCAGACGTCGCCGTTGTATGTTATCTTAGCACTGAATGTTAGGGCACAGTGAGATGCTTATGTTTCATTGATATAATTGTATTTTATTATTGAATTAATCAATAATTAGATATTTTACTTTTATCGGAAACATCTACCAAATAATGAGGATTTATAGCCTATCTATATAGCCCACAACTTGGCGGAGTGCTTTGAATTGTACTCCACCAAGTTGTGGCTAAGCCTACATCCAGTTAGGTTTTGGTTAATGAATGACGATGTTGTGACATTCATATTTTAGGCAAAACTTTTACATCTGTATAAAATGTCAGTGTTTAAGTTTCAGTTTAAGGTACCTAATAGTTGAAATATCAATTGAATAATTAATTAAAATTTATAATTTGTGACTCAAACTTGAGTGTTTATTCAGGGGCAGACCGAGTACACATTATTTGTATTCAATGCCGCGCTCCAGCGGGAGCTTTGTAGGGCGCTCGCCAACTCCTTCGTTTTACGAACGCTTTGAGTAAGATAAATATATATTTATTGGTGTCCTTTCGTTGCTGGTGTATCGATGTTGTAATACTGTTGTTGTAACGCTTCGAATACGACATCTTAACTTTTAGGAGGCATCGTTGTTTCAGACACGATAAAGAAAGTTGTATTGAACTACGATCGACGAAATAATTAGAAATATTACCTAATACCTACCATATAACAATAATAAGCTTAATTCTAGAGCTAAACAATAATTTTAATTAAATTTATTTTAGATGGGTCGGCCTAACTTGCTTTATATGTATGTGGCCATATTTCTTTTCGAAAAATCAAATATAAAATTAAACAGAAATATTTATGGGTATTTTGCTTAGAATATTTATAATCTATCTTGTTTATTTATACTCTAAAGTATTTTCTATAATGCATGCTTCGCTTATTATTGTTTATTTATTGGTATTATCTACTATCAGTTGCAAGTTGCTAGGACTAGTAAAATGGACGCCGAATGTGTCTCTTGAAAATATTAATTGTACGTTAAGTTAATATGTCATCATAGGTTAAATAAGTTGTTAGTGCATGAATGCATCGTGAACATTTTCGTGAGCAAATTGAGCAGAACAATTTATTGTAGAGTTAAACGCTTCTAAATATTAATATTAGAAAAGCTAATGACAACAAATACATAACGACAGCAAATAAAAATTAACCATAAGTTAAAAACTAAAAATGTCTATAATTTTGGATCAAGAATGAACTGCCGCCTGCGCACTCTGCGCTAAAAACGAGGGACTTCTTTTTGGAAGTTGTGATTTCCAAGACAGCACACCGATAGGCTTCTAGGTCACCCCCTTACAGCTCTCATTTGGCACCGTGTGACTTCTTTCAATTCCTTAAAATTAAAAATCAACTAAGGGGAGTACCTACAGTTTATATCGCCGGAAAATGCGCTAGCAGCGTTCGGAAAAAGTGTTTCAAAAATTGCTTCAGACGTATGAAATTTTGATATTGCTGGAAAGTTCTTTGAAACATTAAGTAATAAAAAGCTTATCTATAGCACTTCTTTAATTTAGCCTAACTCTGAGTGACCGTGGACCCTGTAATAAGTATTTATTAGTTTTTAGTTATTTTTTTTTTCTAAGTAAATCACGCTGTTAATTACGTGACGGCATTATCAAAAATAATGAATGTTAAGATTATAATTAATTAATTACGTATTTTATCATTTAATTAAAAATAGATCTAAAAACATATTTGCTGAATTATATATATATATATATTTATATTTAAATTTCTTCGTTTGTGTATGTATACACACAACTAATTCTCTAGTCTATTTCTCTAAAAGATACTTAAAATATCGATCAATTATTATTATATGTGTATCATCACTCGCACTCGAGCGAAATATTTATGGTAAAGTTATTTTAAGGTGTACATATTCAGGAAACTACCGATAACTCGTAGCCAAACCAAGGCTCGAGAAAACCTTGTAAATTATACCTGAGGTCGCTTAAATTTTTGTCTATTTACTGAAAAAAAAAACTTTATAAGGACTTTTAAAGTTAATTTTTTACAAAAAATAAATAAAACTATACCTTTTATTTTCGCTAATACTAAGTACTTACTATATTCACGCGAATACGCCATTGAGTAAAACTATTTTATGGACTATACCACTGTAGGCTGTGCTTGACGTCCTGATAACTAGTAGTAATTAGTGTTTTTAATATAATAATTACATAATATATAAAAATAAACTTTCTTTTTAATTAATTATACTGCAAACATTAAACAAAACTCTAAAATAAAGCGTCGGAAATAATGTCGATAGAAACGACAGCTTTCTTGCCTTTTCATCAAAAGAATTGACGTAACAATTATTCGAATGAGAATGTATATTTTGTGTTATGTTGTGCACACTGTATTAGAATTCATGCATGGTGTGTAGGGATGTGGAGCGCGAAGGCCCGCGGGACTCTACACAAGCGCCACGCTCGCCGATTGTCAACGCCTCTGCACCTCCTTTCAGGTAATACAGTTTTATTATTATAAACAATTTATCTAATTATCAAGCCCTTTAGCAGACATTATCGAGAGAACCTCACTATGTTAAATAAGGTTGGATTATTGTTTGTTTTTAAATTTTTGTGAGGCAATAACGCTCTTTAATGGCAAGTATGAAAATCAGGACCCATATTAAGAAACTAGCACCAAAACAAGTACATAAGGTGAAATACCAACAAGATCTATGGAAATAGCCGATAGGTGGCGATAAAATGGGGACGCTGTAACTACATTAAGATCATATAATATATCTTCTCGCGGTGACAAAAACGAATGCTGCATTGCCCTATTCTTGGACTTAGTCAAGGCCTTTGACACTGTTTCTGTTCCTTTAATATGTAAAAAGCTTGAAAAGATAGAAATAAGGGGATTAGCCTTAAATTCAAAAGTTTATAAAGAAATGGAAACATTGTGTAAGAGTTGGCAATTGTATAATTGAAATCCGGAATGTACCTAAGTTTTGGTAACTCTAGGGAATTTAAGGTGATTGAAATTCCGTCTGCCAAGCGTGGCGATAACGAAAACATCTCTTTTCCATGGGATAGCACCATGTCCAATGGATAAGGAACAACAGCATTTACTAACTAAGGGCGGTGTAATTTATTAACTAAGGGCGGTATAATTTATTAACTAAGGGCGGTGTAATTTATTAACTAAAGGCTGTGTAATTTATTAACTAAGGACGGTGTAATTTATTAACTAAGGGCGGTGTAATTTATTAACTAAGGACGGTGTAATTTATTAACTAAGGGCGGTGTAATTTACTAACTAAGGGCGGTGTAATTTTTGACAGTGAAATTTCGTTTTCTTTTAGTTTAAAATAAATAAATTATAAGATTGATTGAAGTGTTAATATTGCAAAAAGAATAAAGAACTGGAATAATATCAGTCTATAACAAACGTCAGACTTTTAGCAAATTCTTCTTTCTCACCAGCTTTTTGGCCGACTCAGCCTGACAGCTCACACTGTCGTCAGTTTCATTGATATGACATAATATTATTTAATATAATTTATTTATTAAACTTGTAGTCATCATTACATCATCATTACAGCCCTTCACAAGTCCACTGCTGAACATAGGCCTCCCCCAAAGAATGCCACAAAGCACGGTCCTGAGCCACCTGCAAACTTGTAGTGTATACAATGAAATAGAAATATCTAATAATCTGTCCATAATGAGGCATGTATAACTCATATCTTTGTCAAACCGTTCATTTACTGCTGACAGTGGAATAGAACAATAGTCGATCAAGCGCTTGTTGATTTTTCATATGACCCCTTTTTTGTAGACAATGTTAGCAAGTAACAAGTGTTTTAGTTTCTACGATGAAATGTCGACAAGCGATTATCGGACGTGTACAAGTGCCTAGAACAAATTATTGACGAAGTATGTATGTATGTAGGACGCCCAGTCCGTTGCCCAGTGCGTGGCGTGGGCCGGAGTCCCTTCCGAGGAGCACGCCGGTGCCGCCGTACACGCAGTTCCCCGTGCAGCACGAGGGTGAATTCCGCACCGTTACGCTGTCGCCGCTTTCTAGCCGTAACGAAGATGTCATTGACGAGTCTATACAGAGCCAGGTGAGAACAATCAATATTTTTTTTAAATATAATCTTTAAAAACTGTCCTCTCTTTGTCTAATAAAGTATTGGTAACATCTAAATGTTCCGGCGCACACTAGCACAACCAGCAAAAAACACACAATTCTTTTAAAACTTTTTTTTTTATTTATACTTAATCATAATTCCATTTTGCAACAAATTTGATAATAAAATTAGTAGGTACTATGCAATTTGTAAAATTATAATGCATGATCTGTAGCTAGTGCAGAAGTATAGCATTTCAATACATTTTCGTTTTGTGAATATTGATCAATTTTGTAATAAATTAGCAAGCTAGAATTGTAGGTGTTAACAATTATTTTAATATTTTCTGCGGGAAGTTATGCTAAGAAATTTTGTTGCATATTTATTTCATCCGTTTAACAAAACTAACCTAGCTTTACACTATTTAAAGGAACTTCAATTGTTATAAACATACCTTTTCGTACAGAGATAGGAGTGCTGTTACAACATCCATTATAGTAAATTATTCTTATGACTAATTATTGCAGTTAGAAACTGTAGTTTCAAAACAACTAACAGATTGACATAGTACGGTGCGACACGTAGTAACACTGAAGGTATGTATAGTATACTAATTTAGCTGTTTCCAATATCATTCAGTCTATCAAAAATCCACTGCTGAACATAGGCCTCGCCGTAGATTACCTCGTAGGTAATATTTGCAGTAGTTGGCACGCTTAGCAGGCGGTTTGGCAGCCGCAGTTTTTATCAGAAGAATCTGCTGGCCATCTCCTGCTTCATTACCTCCGTCGTCTTATACGGCATCTACAGGATAGTATGGAGTAGCGGATATACTAACACCGCCATTACACGGTACACTACATTTAGCTGTCTGTTCATTCCCAATTTTACGTACAGCAAAAGCAGCAGAACTTTCATCAAGCTTAGTGGCGTGCGCTTTCCATTGGATTGGTATCGATCGTAATATCTAACGTAACGTAGCCGAAGTCACAAACTATATCAAGCCACCACAATATTTGGAGTGTGTAATCGTGTGTGAAATTTACGTTATTTAAACTAAAACATTCAGATTATTCTTACCCCATCAACTTATACATATTTATTGTTAACTGCACTTTATTAAAACGGGGTTTTTAGGTCTTAACGTTAATGTGTAATTTAATTATAAAGAAATAGCATATCAATATTTTTTATGACATGTCAATGGGCTAGCTGAAAGCTCGAAGAATCGACAACCGATAAGGAAGACAGACTAACTATGGCAAGCGCAGTGTCGGCACTAGATTATTTTTGACGAGAGAGACGAGTGTCGAGAGCCCTTATAATTGGTAACGAAGCATTTCACCTCAGGTCGAATGTGCTTATATAAAAAAGTAAAGCCAATCGATCGAGCATATAAGTTTTTTTAGAAAGTGACGACTTAATAGATGCAGGTGGCTCAGGACCGTACTTTGTGGCAACCTATGGCCCTATGTTCAACACTGAACTTGTGATGGGCAGTATAGTGAGTGTGATTTTTTTATAAAACGAAATGTTTTAACTTTGTCTGCCGAAGTTACAGACGAAATTACAGCCTACCTGACTACTGCCACCGGCTTTAATCAAAGGCTGCAGATGCGCTGTCTCATCTGAGGTCTAAGATTGAATACATCATAGCGTATACTTATACTAGTATTAATTTCTGTACTCTTCAAACCGGTACATTGCACGCGCTGCTTGTAGGCGGCAGAAATAGGTAGTATCTAACCCGACAGACATTTCTGAAAATACAAGTTATACTTTAACTCAAAAAGTAGATGTTATTTATGTGAAATTGCTATTTTGCCTGTATAACGCCAGACGAAATAGGTTAACCGAATCACTTTTAAACCGTGGCACTCGATTATAGCCTGGACGAGAGCCAAACACATTTTTATTATTTAGAATTATTAATTAGTCCAATCGAGGCTGATGAAAGAAAGTCTTACCAAGTATAAGTACTCGTACTAATTGGTTGTAATTAATAAGTCGCAGATTTTGTACGTATTTTTCGTAATTATAATCATTTAGTATATTCACGAAATTTAGAATATTCTAGTCGTATAATATCATTATATACTTAATCATATGCTACAATAATAAATATCTCGTGATCCATTTAGATAAAGTCATTTAATGATCAATTTCAATTATACACTAAACTTTTTGGCAATGTTATGAATTAGTGTTTAAAGTTCGTTGCATAAGTAGGTACTCGGCGTGCTAGCGCGATTGTTTATAGAACTAGTAAATAGCAAATAAAAACAAGATTTTTCTCTTATGTTTGACCAATGGAATATTGAAAATGTTCTTTCAATATCTTTTCTTTTAATTTTTTATAAAACCTTCAATCTGCATTCATGTAGATTTCATTAAAGTTTGTATCATTTATTTATTATTTTAAATATTACTATGATTGTGTGCTATTCACAAATCAAATTTATTCATTATATACTTTTCCCACGAGATTCTACAAGGCAGCTAGGTCGAGCTAGGCTGTCGCCCACGCTGACGCCTAGTCCTCCCGTCATATTTCCAAAATAGAATGCATTGAAGCGTTGTTTACTCATGAGCTGGCTGGAGTCACAGTCCGCGATCGTTCTCAGTACGACACGTCCGCGCTAACGGGTGCCACTAAAATGGCAGTCAATCCCAATTTCTTCCCCAACGGTTACCAGGACCCGATGCATCCTGAAGAAGAGGTCGTCACCAACTGGGTGCGTCACTTCGATGTTCCTATATGTTTACAAATTGTATTTTCCAAAAAATGACGTTCCATCAAATGAGAAATAAGATCCTTTGCTTTTAGAGCATGACTAATTCCAGAACACTCAATTCGAGTGTTGTATAACGCAATTCGTGATATAATTTTGCAAACAGTGTGCATGTTTTTTGACAATTATTGTGTTTATTATTTTGACGATAGGCTCATCTTCATATCGACAAATAATCTTTCAGCGTCTTAGTTTCCTAAATAAATAATGTGGCCAAAAATAACTAATACTGATTAAAGGTAATAATAATAATAAACAACTTCCAAGTAGGTATAAATTTAGCGTTTATATTGGCAAAAACATGATGGAAAGTAACAGTAGCTATAATTTACAATGTGTACTAAAATAACTAATATTGATTAAAAGTATAACAAATGACTCATGTACAAATTTAGCATTTATTTCGGTAAAAACATGTTAGAAATTAACAGTATTACTTAATAAACTTACCTGCAAATGCATCATCGCCATCGTAACTAACAGTTGAATATGAAAAATTTGCGTGTAGTGTCGCACTTTAGTAGAGCTACGCACCAACTGTATTACGGCTAAAGCACTAATGTTTTTGCCCGACCGAAGGAGGACCATGCTCTCACAGAATACCGGCGTAAAATAGCTACATAATTCTGCTCTTTCATGTCATTAGGGACGAGAACCGGACAACCTTTTTACTAATTTGTTACCAGTAAAAAAAAAATCCCATTTTAATCCTCAGGGGTGACAGCTATCGATCTGCTTTTTGATTTTTAATCGAGGGTAGATATAAGTGTCTATGGGTCACAAGCCACAACATTCACTTACCATCAGTTGGTCTGAGTGCTCGTATGTCACCCGTACTTGCATATAAAAAGTTTCACTTGTCCTCTTTTCTACCGACTTCAAAAAGGAGCCGGTACCAATTCTACTGTATGTTTTTATTTTTTGTTATGCGTGTTACCTCATAACTTCTTACTGGATGGACCGATTTCGATAATTCTTTTTTTATTTCAAAGCTGGTGCTTCCCATGTGGTCCCATATAAAAAACAACTATTGGTCAGATCAAGGTCTGACCAATAGTTTTTGAGTTATTCTTAATAATTTATATTGAATTCGGTTGTACAAAATTTTAAATTTTAAATTATTCTTCATTACGTCCATCTGTATCAACTTGTAATAGTTTACTGTTCAGTATGATCTCCCACTGTAGAAAAGATTTACTGTTATCGTCACGCTTAGCAGGAGGACGATTGATCTTTAAACCTGTTCCCGTCTCCTGGGGGTATCTCACTCTCCGGTTATCTCACTTCTGGCCTGTAAGAGTGCTAAAATGTTTCTTTATATCATATAAAATATAATACGTGTTATATACGATAATGTGACGCATAAATACGTCGTACTCGTTTTATATTTACACCTGATTAGGTGCATAATAATATCCTCTATAGAGATTACAGGATAAAGATACCTATTCTATCTTTCAAAGGAAAATCTCGTAAGAAACCTGCTTATTACGTTGGATTTAATGGTTCAAGAGACAATTCTTCAAGGAATAACTAAAAAAAAACAAGCAAGCAAAGCAATAACATTTCGTTTAATAGCTAGATTTAATTTAAAATTCTCAGTTGTTGATTCTATTTTTGAGTCAATGTCACGTCGCGTGTCTTATATCTACATTCCTAACGCTTGTAGCCTCGGTATTAGCTATGGTATTAGTTAGGAAAATTTTAATATAACCGAAATGCTTTTAAAATTTTGTCTATTATTAATAATCTAAACTTCACTATCCATTTTCGATTCGAGTCACATCGAAAACCATCAAATCGATCGATATTCGATACTCCTATCAAAACTCAATTTAACATTTGAAACCATTATCAAACTCTCTTAACCTTTTTACTTGTATTAAGCTGATAACGTTTTGTAAATTCAAAATACTTGACCAATTACGATAATATGTGACCAAATACAATACATAAGAAAGTATATAATATCATTACGTATATAATATCGATGTACTTGACGAATTCTTTGAAATATGGACAGCCGCCAGATGAAAATATACCACAGGGCTAAACTTTAACTTATGGAACATTAAATACTAATACCGCTTCCAATATAACCTATGTATTTATGTATGTTCCAATTATTCAAACTCTTTACTTACAAATTTTGTTGATAACGTCTAATATTGTACTTTTTAAATTGAATATTAGCCTTAATCATAATATTACCTATTACATTCGGCATTATAAACATGAAAGGAAATAAATTCCCTTTCTTTTCAACAATATATTTGAGTTTCATTATAAGTTGTTTGTGAAATATAATTGATAATAGTACTCACGTTTTACATACAAAGTGAACTTTATATTACGGGCATGTGAATTACGTCAGAAGCCAAACCTGCGTCTTTGTAAACAAGACGAAAATAAATATCCAAGCCCGCCGCCATTTGTTAAAGTCTTTACTATCTTTAAAACATGAACTAATGAACGTAAATTTTGTAATTTTTATTGTTGTTTCTTACAAGAAAAAAAGCTTAAATTGTAAATATACACATATTTACTTCTTGTTTTTCTTATTTATCGGTCTTTTTTAATATTTTACGTGTTAGAGCCATGCTGCACCTATATTAGTAGTATAGTTGTAGCACAAATGGGTCGACTCGACCGGGATCACGCTCTCACAGAATACTAGCGTGAAATAGCAGCTTGGCGCTGCTGTGTTTCGTATGGTGAGTGTAGAGAACCGGAGACCCTTTTTACTGGAAATGAGGCATTCCATCTTAGTCCTCACGGCTGACAACGCATCTGCATTTTGATTTGTAATCGAGGATAGATGTATGTCTATGGGCCGCAGCAACCACTTACTCTCAGGTGGACTGTGTGCACGTTTGTCACCCTTATCCTATAAAAAAAATCCACTGCTGGATAGAGGTCTTTTCAAAAATTGCTGTCTAGCAAGCACAACTTCAAAGATTTGCCCGTACTCATCATCCTGAATAAGCATAACTAGGTTGGCAAGTGCAGAGCTTACGTAAGCGTAAAAACTATCGCTGCTATCCATTACAATAGATATTCCACTATTTTGACCTTATTATCACTATAAGTAGTGGCACGAAACTCTAGCGGTAACCGTTATTGCGCATACGCCGCGCTAATGGGCTCGTGCGTATCGTTCGCCCGCGCTGATTGGCTCTCCAGTCGCATTCGTGCAATTCAATTCGTGCGCGTCCCCTCCACGTTTCGTTCAGCGCTAGACTTACGTGCCGCGACTTGTACCTACTATTATTACTATCATGCTACTATTACAGCCCCGTTCAGTAGGTTGGCATATGACAGAACTGAGTGAAGGCGTCACACACTTTCAACAATGTTACACTGTTACATTTAGCAGCCGCTCCATTTAACAATCTACAAAAAGTCTACTGCTGAACATAGGCATATTCAGTGGCGATATTTGCTATAGTTGCCACGCCTTTGTTGTTTCTTATTACTATTTGTTTTGTAATTTTTATAGTTTTATGAATTACTATTAGTTTCATTCATAAATTAAAAAATGATATGGTCATTTAGTACAAAATTCTAAGAGGTACATTTTATCTCGCAAACTGTTCATTTTTGTTGTTTTCTTTTACAGTAACTTTTAGTTAATATATTACCTATGTAATTTTAGTGGCCTGCAAAAGTAATGCCGAGATGATAATAGTAATTAGTAGTTATTTTGGCATTATGAATAAAAGGCAGCATCTTCCGAATAACATGTAGGATAAAATATGGCTTGCCAAACGTGGCAACTATTGCATATATCCTTATGAAGCAATTTATGTGGCTAAGTTCAGCAAAGGACTTTGATAGACTGTAATGAATGAATGAATTGTTAAGTAAAGTCCTAAAAATATTGTCTTTGCGAAAAGAGAACCGACGTAGGATTTGAGGACTCTAATACTTTTTTGTGTGACTTACTTTTCTTTAATTACATAAAATATATTTATATGCTCACAGTTATTGTACTCTAGATTATTAAAACTCATATTAAAATCTAAATATTAGTCAGTTTTCTGCCTCCAGATTAAAAACAGAACAAAAAAGTTTTAATCTGGAGGTAGCCGTGGTTAACTATGACATTGGGACGTCATACACCTCAATTCCCCCCTGTGACCATGGCTGTTGTAAAGTGCTCGAAATGTCGGGAATATAAAATAAGTTAATATACGCGATAAAATCCATAAAATTAGTTTTATTTAAATGTTCAAAATATCACTCTTTAGGTCAAAGTAACATGTAAAAAAAAAATTGCCCTCCGATTCTAATCGTCCACAATACAAACCCACAACAACGCTTTGGAAATAGGGTGGCTCTATATTAAGTACTATACATATACTTTAATTTACATCTGTATCGAATGACCGCGGCCTACATTTAATCACGTAGTTTCAGAAACCGAAATTGTGCCAGTAATCATAACCCACATGAAACAACCTCGTGTTATATTTAGAACGAATTCGCGAGGCGTTTCAATGATTGAACCTTCCAATGTAACTACCACAGAACAATAATACTCTCTACCGAGACGTAACTACTTGTAATAAATACAAAATCATCTGTATCATGTTTTTATGACGTACAAAAGCAAAAATAAAAGCGATTTATTTACATCTTCATATGTTCGTTGTTATAAAGTGTTTATAATTAATCTCATATCACGCATTAATAGAAACAACTTTTACTTTTTTTACTCCGTTTCCTCTAAATGATATACTCGTAAGTTTAATATTAATGAGAGTCGTGGTAACTCAGGGGCTAACCGCTCGCTGTAAATTTCACAATACGCAAGCAACCCGGGGTTCGATCCCCGCCGGCACCAATGAAATCGTTAATTGCAACTTTAAGTGTTGATTTACCACGTGCACGGCGGTGAAGGAAAACATCGTGAGGAAACCGGCATGTTTGAGAAATAAGAAAAAAAATATTTCGAAGACATGTAAAGTTTGCCAAAATTCAAATGAGGAGAGGCCTGTGTCGAGCAGTGGGACGTATAAAGGCTGTTACTTTACTCTATTTTTTTAGTTGGTTATTTTTGTATAAGTAAAACTTTAATCATAGATGAAATAGAATTGTATTTTTATGATATGGGTTGGGTGCAGCCGTACCGCACGACGCCGCTGGTGCTGCCGGGCGCCAAGGTGCGGCGCGAGCCCGGCCCCACCGAGAGCTACCTGCGCCACCACCCCAACCCCGCCATGCGCGCGCCGCCGCACCACGACTACCGCGACACGCTCATGAAGCAGAAGGTACGTCACCTGCACACCGCCTCATCTTGCTACACAACAGCCATTGACACCTAATAAACATTATTTTTATTAGCTTTTTTATCCACTGCTACATTATAGTAATTATGAGTAATCACAAACTGGCTTGTATGCCTTGAAGGGTTTGCCCATTTTCACTACACATACAGGGGTTAATGAGCGTGAAGCCGATACCACAAAATACCGTCGCACTAATAATCTTGCCTCCCATTAACAATCTGTGTAATTTCGGTTCAACATTTTGAAATTTGACAATTGTCAGTCACCAGAGGCCCATTCGTTGATTAGCACAAAGTGCACACAGTGTACAGTGAATGTTTTCACTCAGAAAAAGGACGAGAAGAAATTGTACGTCAGGGAAATAAACAATTTCTAATCTTTATATCTCCCTGATAATAATAACTACTATAATATATGTTGATTTTTTGATTTTATTTGATTTATATAAGTAGTTGATATTAAAGGTTACTTGTTCTTTTTGGAACGTAAACTTTATATTATTTGGTGTACAACACCAAATAATATAAAGTTTACGTTCCAAAAAACCCAAAAAGACGTGTGTTGTATTTTATAACTTCAATAATCAAAAAGTGCATTTTGTTATTTAAATCAAGACTAGGTTATATATAAATATATACTTTACAAACTTAGATAAACTAACAAAAAATATATCAGTTATTTTAAAAGTTAAGTGTCACAAACATTTTCACTAAGCAAAATTCTTCTTAAATAGCATAAATAAAACACTTCACTGCTGACCTGAACATAGGAGAGACATTTATATTAGTTGCCACGCTTGGCAGGCGGGTTGGCAACCGCAGTTTTTTATTTTTAGTTGTTATTAAAAAGACGCTGTTACCCATCTCCTGGTTTGTTTTCCTCTGTCGCCTCTTACGACACCCACGGGACAATATGGGATAGTGGATATTCTTACACCGCCATTACACGGTCAGCAATTTTTAGTGATAAATAACGTTTATTGCTTGTAATATACTGCACGGTGTTTCGCACACAAATACGACCTGCACACACTTCATAACCACACTCCTAATATGGCCATAAATTCTGTTAAACATTAAAAATTGTTATTATACATATCTTTCTAAAGAAACAGTTATTAATAATAAAACTTATGTGTATCAATATGCTATCGAAATCTAAGCGATAAATTAAAAACAATTTTATTATTTGATAGAGACCTTTAATCTGTCTGCCCACGAACCTATGGATTCACCCATTGTCTCCATTTTAGCTACTCCGAAAACACTTAATTTTGGAGTAACGATTCCCGCAGGCGTTCTCCTCTAATACCACAATATGTAGAGAAGGTCATTCACCGCTTATGAAATCTAATGAAAATGAATATTATTCTTGAATCAGGTTTGAGTTGTTCATGCCTTATTTATTTATATATCTTTATTATCCATCTTATAATAAGGGATATTAAAGTCGGTCTTAATGCCATATAGTATTCTCCATTCCATACCATTCAACCCTGGATAATTTGAGAAACTGTGGCAGGTATAAATTCACTTAATAAAATTAATAAATAAGTAATAAAGTGAACTTATTATGATGAGACCAGGAGCAGTCTTACTGGAAAGACTACTGAACATTTTTGAAAAGTGTATCAATATACGAGGTCTGTCCCAAAAGTATCCGACCTACGTTCATATCTTCGCGCGGAAAGACTCAGACGACCTCTGGAGGGTACGAACGTCCAGCAACTCCTAACCTTCTCGTCAGTAGCCTGAGATACCGATGAAACGCCTTAGTTCCTGCGCAGCGTGTATTTGTTTACACGACTTTTTTGCGTTCGTCGCAATTTGCTTATTGCTAAAAATGGTAGAACGAACCGAACAGCGAATTTGCATAAAATTTTGCTTTAATCTCGGTAAAAGTATTGAAATGAGTCATGGTTTTATGGTTATGATCCTGAAACAAAACAACAATCTTCGTAGTGGAAGCTTCTATCTGAGCCTCGGCCGAAAAAAGCCCGTCAAAGTCGAAGCAACATCAAGTCAATGTTGATTGCTTTTTTTTGATTATGAGGGCGTTGTGCACCATGAATATGCCCCAACAGGCCAGACAATCAATAAATAGTACTACGTTGAAGTTTTGAAAAGATTACGTAATGCAATCAGGAGAAAACGACCGCAACTTTGGGAAACCGGTGACTGGCTTCTTCATCACGACAATGCTCCAGCGCACGCATCAAACCTTGTGCAGCAGTATTTATTGAAACACAGTGTTGCGCAGCTCCGCCAGCCTCCATACAGTCCTGATATAGATCCCTGCGACTTTTGGCTGTTTCCTCGATTGAAAATGCCGCTTAAGGGACATCGATTCGACAATAAACAGACTGTTGAAAGTAATGCGACGAATGCACTAAAGGCGATTGCGAAGTCTGACTTTCAAGAGTGCTTTAATAAGTGGAAACGTCGATATGAGCGTCTTGTTCAATCAAATGAGGACTATTTTGAAGGATGCCATCCCCCGGATGACGAAGAATAAATCAAGCGCCGAGAAATCGAGGTAGGTCGGAAACTTTTGGGACAGACCTCGTATGTAGGATAATAATTACATTGAACTTTTCCACTAAGTTTCGAGGCTTCTTACGAGCTGTATGCATACAATTAGTAATTACCTTGTTGTAGCGCTCTTCAACCAAAAAAAAAGTTCATGTGTAAATAGCATATTTCTGTGTAGTCCACCAGCGTACCGGGAGAGCAAGCGCTTTGATCAATCCACTCTTTTAAGCTGATGGAATTGATTTATGGTATTCCCTGTTTATAAGTCGTGGCACGTAAGTCTAGCGCTGAACGAAACGTGGAGGGGTAGCTGCGTATGGGTACTGTCGCACACGCAATACAATCATTACTTTAATTAATTAATAGTATATAGCTATTAATTTATTAAAGTAATGATTGTTAATTATAATGATATTATTTTGTTGTAATGTGTGTGCGTTTGTGTGTGTGTGTGTATGTGTGGTGTGAGTGCGTGTATGAGTGTGAGTGTATGTGTTTGTAATTATTATAGTTTATAGTTACAAATTCCAAAGATTTCATGTTACTTAGGATATAATTTTTAACAAGTTTATGAGGAGTAGAAAAATAAAAACATTCACGAATTTTCAATTTTTATTTTAGATATAAAAAAACTAGTATCCGAATTAGAGATGGGCAAAACAACAATTACACACCGGAACACATCGAAACTATTTGCTTGAGTGGAGATGTTCCTTACCGTTGCAATTAACATATTTGTAGACTCTGATGTCCTTTTTTTGATTTTCCCTAAGTCACTGATTATACTATTTAATTTCATATTTCCAGTTGTGTATCGCCAGCAACGCAAAATCAGGAATTTGCATTTAGAAAAACCCAAAATTATGCGCTTTTTAGGTGCTAATTAGGTGCCAAGTTTAAAAATTAGGTGCTCTAAAATTTTCACCGCAACGAACTGTTGAAATCTGCGTTGCTAGCAAAACGTCTCGATATACGATAAATATTGATAGCAAGGAATTAAGTGCTAACTAGGTAAAAAAAAATACTCACAGCTTCATACTGACTGAAATTCTGTTTTCTTTAACGCCTCACCCCATATTGTAATTTCACAATCACGTTGAAAAATATTATGTGAAATAGCGGCAAATCGATCAAAGTTTCCTACATAATAAACACATTCCAAATTTAAATTCATAAAAAAGGATTTTTTAAATGTAACATTATTTATGGCCAGACCAGATTAGATATTTATAATATTAGCATACTAAAACGCCTTGACGTCATAAACAGCGCATGTGCACTTAATTTTCAATAGAAAGGATTAAACAAAACGCATAAAAACATTATCGTAGCGTAGCTTAACCATTTGGTAATTTAAATTACAGTAGGTAACATCAAACTCAACTCAACATCGAACTCTTTAAACATAAAACCATACAGTTTCTGCATACAGTGTCTATTAAATATTTTTATGAATATTTCAAAATATATTTTTAATTATAAACAAATTTCAAATTACCGATTATTTTTCAATTCCTGGAAATAAGGAAATGAAATATGAGCACACTGATCATAGAAAATCTTCGTCTACAAATATATGCAGGTATATAGGTATACCTATTCTAGCATAGCTTAAACTACTTGAACACATTTTGAAAAGAACTTTTGTTAATAGTGTCTATTGAAAAATTTATTTATACTGCATAAATTATTATTATTTCTAATTGTAAACTAATTTCAAATTCTGGAATTAAGAAAATGAAATTTGAGTTCACAATGAAAATATCAAGTTTGTTTACAAAGACCTATTGTAGGATAGTTTACATATGAAATTTTTCTAACGAACTCAGGTTGCCGAGTCGGTGTTGCAGCGAGTGGTTGGAGAAGAAAGCAACAAGGTGGTCCACTAACTCGTTGTGTGATATAGTTTCGACATCTTGCATCTTTACGCATGATGATAGTGTTAAACTTCTGATACGAAGCTCTTCGTTTATTTTCACGCCAGAGATACGTTGCAAGAATTATACTCAAGCAAGATAATTAACACTTTTGTTAAGCTAAGCCAAAGCGCTTTATCATTTTAGACTAAAACACCACTTAGAACGAAGAAATTAAATAAAACAAATTTTATAGATTTTATCAATTAATATTTAACCGTTTTATTTTTTGTTTTATACAATGTGTAGTATTCGCATAAACACTTGCATTGCCAGTCGTTTGTTTTTTTATTTCAAACACTTAATATTATTATTATTATTAGTAACTTTAGTCTATATATCATCAACCAGTGTCATCTTGCAACGATTCTTCGGCCTAATCGTTACCACTCTCATATGTTTATAGTCATTGTTGTTCAGCTTCATGTTTTCTTTCATTGTATAATGCTTCACCGAAGTCATATAATTTCAGGATTCTTCATCTTACATAATTTTCTTATCTGCAATTATATAATTACGTACTTTCAAATTGAAATAACTATTTACTTGTCTAAAAAAATCTGCCATTTCAGTTTACCAATAGCATGTCTTCGTCCTATAGTAAAGGGAAGGGATACTAAGTATATGACTTAAAATAGTTAAAAAGTGATATATGTACAATGTACATAATATAATGTGATACACGAGACAGGTTGAGTGATATCTATTATGCAAAATATAATGAAGAATATATATTTAGCAATTTTCTTAGGACAAATTTATAGTTATTTCTGAAGTATGGTTTTTATTTGTGTACTATTGCGATTGGATCATCTTAAAATAATAAAAATTAAAGATTTAAATGTCTTTTCAGTTTGTGCACAAACAGTTCAACTCGCCGATCAATCTATATTCGGAACAAAACATCGCCAACTCGATCAGGCAACAAACGACCCCTTTGCCGTAAGTATGCATTTGTTCTTTATCAAATAGTTCACAAAAATAAAAAACAAAAGTAAAATTGTTCTGATTAGCTTTGCATTCTGAATGCTAAATTAAATGAAAATTGCGTGATAATTGGAGGAAGTTCGTATTAGCAATGAATTTCTTGAGCATGGAAAGCTGCCAAAAGAAACTTCTTTACGAAACAATAATATGCATTGAATAAGCTATCTTACGTGATGTGATTCCAAAATTGTGCAGTCTTTTAAATTGACGGATAATCTTATCTTCTTAATTGTTGTAATTAACACCTGATTCTGGTTAATAAATAATATATTATTTGACGAATACAGTACACATTAATAATTAAGAATTACATAATAATATATTGAGCTAGTCATTTTCAGATTTAGGAAGCAACTTTGCAAGAAATCAGACATGTGATTAATAAAGCGTATATTTTTACGCCTAACTGACAACTGTGCCTTGTAATAACGTTTCATCTCAAATTGTTTTTTTTTTTATAAAAATCGTAGACTGTTGTATATTAATAGAGTGTTTCTCTGCTCACTTAGCTCTAACGGCCATTACGGGCGGCCGCACGTTGTCAAGAGGCAAGTGTTTTACTAGAAACGCCAAACAGTCGACGCCCATCTCATGACGCATTAATGCTTATTTATTTTTTATTTCGCTACTCGCTCTTTCGTCTATACCTTACTTCGACTATTTTGCACCAAAAACAGACTTCATCTAGCATGGTGATTGGTGACGACATCGGCATATATTTGAAAAAAAAAATAAAAAAGTGCAATCATTCGCGCGCTGTCGCATTATCAAATGTGTAAAATTTACACCGTATACTCCCGCTTTTAATTCCAGTTAGTAAAATGACAGTTTATGGTTTGCTAGTTAGGAAATAAAAGTTAAGGTGAAATAATGATAAATAAGTATAAGGCATTGATTTTTTATTCTATCACTCATATATAATAGTATTACACGGTATTGATTCGTTAAATTTTTAACTTAATTTTTATTTCGTAAAAGTAGCAATCCATGAGTTGTCATTTTACTAAAAAGAATTAAAATTCGGATTATATCGTATTTGTTCATAGATAATATATATGTTATTTATTACAATTAGTTAATTCTATTCTATACTATTAGTTAGTAGTCCTCTCCCTCCTTGAAACTAAGCGTACGTGAGCACTAACCACTGTCCTAATGCGCTACGTTGACGATTACCTAATTATGTTTCTGTATTTATTACGTTGCGCCCGCTAACCGACTAAACCCTAACCCGCTCTACTTCGACGTGGCCGTGGCGTGCAGTCGGCAGGCGCCGGTGCCGTACGAGCCCGCCAAGTCGGAGACGTACCGCGCGCTGCACGAGCAGAGCGCCGGCGCCGCGCTCGAGGCCGAGCCCGCGCACACCAAGATCTTCGCCGCGCCCGACAAGGTTCGATGCCGTTTCAATTCAGTTTCTTTTTAAAATAACTCAATAACGTAATTGCCTTTTACTTTATTAAACAAATTAAAATGTATATTGATAACTTTTAGATGTTCTCGACACAGCACCAACGCGGCATTGTCAACCTTGATATCCATAATAATTAATTTTATAAGGGTAATTGGTCTTTTTCTGCCCAGATGTCTATTTAAGTAGCTACCGCCCTCTTACCTGTTTGTGTCGCCAAGTAGCACGTGTGCACCGCTGTATCCTCGTCTGTAAGAGAGTCAATATTACCACGCCGTAAGGCATTCCGTCTTAGTCCTCAGTGACGACGACGCATCTACATCTGAAGCCACTTAGAAAAAGACCGCAATTGCCTTCGATAATATAAACGTGGTAGAGCCATGCTGCAGCTATATTAGTAGTATAGTTGTAGCACGAATGGGTCGGCTCAACCGGGGATGGACCACGCTCTCACAGAAAACCAGGGTAAAATAGCAGCTTAACACTGCTATGTTTTGTATGGTGAGTGTAGAGAACCGGAGACCCTTTTTACTGGCAAGGAGGCATTCCATCTTAGTCCTCACGGGTGACAACGCATCTGCATTTTGAGTCTTTATTGAGGATAGATGTAGATGTCTATGGGTCACAGTAACCACCTCCCATCAGGTGGACTGTGTGCTCGTTTGTCACCATATCCTATAAAAAAAAAGTTGCGATATGATCATCTCGTATTTATACCAGACACAAAATAACCAGACCGGCTACCTTAAGCAGTGTTTACGTGGTACAGCCGCGCTGCAGCTGTTATGGTTGCAGCAAGAATGGGTCTTCTTAAACGGATAAGAATCACATTTTCACAGAATACCAACGTGAAGCAGCTTAATGCTTCTGTAGTTCGTATTGTGAGTGTAGAGAACTAATGACCCTATTTACTAAGAACAAGACATTATATATTAGTTCTAAGAGGTGACAATGCATCTAGATTTTGATTCTTATAGCCTATGGACATCTACATCTACTAAACGATAGATGTAGCATGTCCATGAACACCTATAGCGTGAACTTGCCATCGAATAAACTGTGTGCACGTTTGTTACTCTTATTTAAAAAGTGTCAAGAGTCCGCTGCAATCGCTTATCCGCCTGCCAAGGATAGCAATCGTAGACTTTCGTAGTAGCGATTTAGTTTAGGCGAGTTATTTACTCTAGTATATGTAACAGGTTTGGTGATTGAATATGATGGAATACCTCGGCAACATTAAAAAGGGTGTCCAGTTCACGCCACTGATCATTGGAAATAGCAGCGTGCTGCTATTTTTGCTGTCATACTAAACAATTCGTTCTGCAATCCAGCTGCAACGTGGCCTTACCACGTACAAATGTGATGTAGAATAGTATATTTCATTACGAGTGTGGAAAGCCTGTCGTTGCAGAGTTCCGACAAATGTCTACTCGAGACGAGGCGCAGCCGAAGGTGAGGGTTGACAGTCGGAACAAGTTGCAATGACGGTTCCGTTACTGAACAACTATTTTTAATACAGTTGCGAAAAACTGAAGCAATTTATAAAGAACATTTTTGGAAAATGGCGCCAACCGTAAAAGAATATAAGAAGAGATTTTTTTGTTTTCTTCACCCATTCTGGGTAGGCAAAGGGAACTATGCCCATACAGCCAAGTCTTCAGTAGAATTTTGTTATTGATATGAAATGAAAATTAAATTTAATGAAATGAAATGAAATGAACCTAACCTAACTCATTGAATCAAATCATTAAATCTGATATTGAAACAAATTAGTAGCTTCTTTTTAGAAATATTTGCATGAATCATAAAAAATTTCTATGATTTTTTTTAGTAAAAACTTCGCGGTTGGTTTTTCCTTTTTAATAGACATTATTTCACTTAGCTCCTGAGCTATAGCTATCACAGCTAGAATGTTAATTACGAAAAATGCAGCGCCACCTCGCAATATTATTCATACAATTACACATTTCCGGTCACCTGTGTTTTTATTCTGACATATCTCCCTGGTTGACAGAGGCCGACACCTACTCCGAAAGCAACGAATCAACACGAGGTGAACTCCAAAGGAAAGCAAGCGACCTTCGTAAGTTATGTCCTTAGAATATGTATAAGCAAGGTATAGGGCGCGCGTATCGCTCATTGCCCATTGTGCCGAGCGTCAGCAGGTGCTCCATAGATATTGATACATAGAAGCGGTTTGATAGTGATGCGCCAAGATTGACGCCTATACGTTAATATACTTACGTTATTAATTAAATTAGGGAAGTATTTAGTACATATTAGAAGGTAGCTTATTATAAGGTAGGTTTTAACAGATCAATCAAATACAGATATGAATTTATAAAGCGATGTTTATTTGATCAAACACAAATATTTAATTAACTTCTGCCCTTAAAAAGGGTTAACTTATTATATAGTTATGGTTGCGTTTGCTTGATCGCAGTCTTTGATGCCAGATATTTTATTTTTATGTAAATTTTTTTGAACGACATCAATTAGTTTACATACTTGTAACTGCCGAAGCAATGTTTTTTATCGCTTAAAAATAAGTTTAATCTTCAAATTTAAGGTGATACCTCAAAAATTTGGTGGTTTTTCTATTTCACATATTTGAATGTGAACCAAATTGTTGGTATATGAATTTTGACTATATGACCTTGAATTTCATAGAAGGAAAACACGATAACATGTTATCGTATTTTCCTTAATCCTTATCATTTTCTTGATAGAAAAAAATTGTAAAGTAAGCTCTAATTAGTTACAATTCTCTATGCCACCACAATATTGTTACGAATAAGTTCATGGAATTATTTTAAAAGCATAGTAAATAATCATATCTAAGTTCACATAAACCATTTTTTAATCCATAACGAAGTACTGTTACAAAAAATAAAAATGTTGTTTGCGGCTTACGTAGTTTATTTCCGAGCGCGTGCTCGGTATAGCTATCTCATAATTTTCGTACATGAAGTACATTGCATCACTTTCATTTTGACACTCAATCAGTCGTCGATGATTTTCACCGACAAAGGGCTAATCCATGCCCCTAAAACTAGGATTTATTTTCGAGGTATCCTCTTAAGCTCTTGGTTTTTGCCAACTTGCTCAGTCCAACTTTGGTTTCAGAAAGGGCCGAAGCACTAAATTGGATGAAACAAACGAAACCTCTGATATTCTTGGTAGATCTTCGAGCTCCCAGTTGGGCCTTTTTTTATTGCTATCACCCATTTATTTGTCAATTCACGGTTTTTCGGAAATCTGGAATTAAATATTATGTATTTAACTGTATTATATAACTATGTAACAAAGATAGTATTAAGCGTTATTTTAGACATTGATCTGTACGAGTATGGGTTAGTAATACAAAGAATCTTACTGTGATTATATTATTATTACAAAAGAATTCATGTTATTACAATATAGTCGTGTACAACGTGGTACAGCACTAGCTATTATACGAGGAAAGCATGAAGCGGGGAGCATAGGAGATAGGAGTACGTGCTGTCGACCCGCACGCGCCTCCGCCCTTTCACACCTTGATTAATCTTGTTAAAATCAATGTTTTCTTATCAAAATATTACTTACCGATGAAAAGAAATATCATTTATATTCCAAGTTTGCTTCAGTGAATCGTTTTTAAATCTTTTTATTACATATTTCACCATGTTAATTTAAAATCCAAGTAAATACCGGCGAGAGAAACAATCAATGTGTGTTCTTTCGTGACTAATAGCGTCGCCCTTGCAATTTCGACTGTTCATGTCAGTGCTAGCTGTTCATACTCGCTCACGCGCGTTCTATTGCTTGCTTATTTATACACTTAGGTTATATCAATGTACATACATCTGTTATAAATTAATATTGTAGTAGTTAAAAAACACGTTCCTGTTCCTACAACCTATTAAAGTCCACTGCTGAACATAGGCCTCCCTCATAGATTGCCTCACAGGGGGGATACTTTCCATAGTTGCCACGTTTAACCAGCGGGTTGGCAACCGCAGTTTTATTTTTTTATTTTAGTAGTTATTAGGAAGACGCTGCAGTCTATCTCCTGATTTGTTTCCCTCTGTCGCATCTTACAACATCCATGGGATGATATGACCGTGTAGTGGCGGTGTAAAAATATCCACTACCTCAACATGTTTAATCAGAATATATTTTTAAATGAATGTCCCTCAATTGATAAAATTTTGCTGTCCTTCTGAGAGTTGGGGGTGAGGCGGTCAACCAAATGTATGTGTGGTGGACTTAGAAATTATGCTTGTGGAAAATTATGCTTCTTTTTTTACACACAACAACAGCTAAAAGTAACTTTAAAGAAAATCACGTAAGATGTAAAATATAAGCATCAAAATTGTATATATAATGCAAAGTGTAATGTTGGATTTCACAATCACTCGTCTCTAATTCAAAATATAATGTGTCCTGACAATAATTGATTTCATTGGTAATATTTGGTAACATTGTAGGTACCATTAAATACTGGTCGCTTATTTGCATGATTTAGTTGGTTGTATTTCCGGCTAAGACACGCACACGCAGCACGCGTTTGCGGAAGTATTATTGTTTTCTTCGCAATCTTGATAAATAACGTCCAGGGTATAATTTTTCTATTTTCAACTTCGGCGATGATTGAAAAAAATTCCAGCGACAGGCGAGATGGCAACAATTGTTTTTTTATTATTATTTTGGAAACCATTTTTCATTGCTTTCGCATTTCTGATGTAGTATTATGTCGTATCGTCGGCGTAGTTTCAAAGTATTCACAATGGTACGGCCGTTTTAACTTGGCCTCCCTAAACGTCTGAAAAATCACCAGTGTAATTTACACATATGACGGCACCACTGCGCAGTGCACCGAATCAAATATTTTTTAACTTTATAAATTTAGTTCATTAAACCCAATATTATCTCATCAGCACTTGGACTTTTTTTTAGAAAATTTTCGAATTTTATATGTATATGATTTTGTAATGATTCTGTTTCAGGTGAACTCATTACACGAGGAGCACATCCAGCAATCGAACTCATTCAAGCGCCTCATGTACAACGTCCTCGGTGAAACAGAGTTCTAGCGCGAAGTTCCATTTGTTGTGTTCGCCACCCTCCCACTAATTTCTGTTAACGTATATATAAAATAGTTAATGTATCAAAGGAGGAAAGGCTTATGCGACTAAGTCAATGTGGGTAGATTATCATTACCATGTCACAAACGATTACTGTTACATTAACTGATACATATATTTTAGTGATTATTGCAATTCGTTTGCGGTTAGACGGCGCCGCGTACTTAAAATTTTTATTGACTTAAAATCAAATAAAGACTAACATAATTAATGTAGGATGCTACTATAATTAATTAACACTCCTGACCGGTGTGTATTGTGGATTTCGATGGATTTTAATTATTCTAATACTCGAGTATTAGTGATATTATTTACATTAAGTAGACAAGTAACTTTTATTACTAAGTGTTGTTCTTTCTGTTTGTACAGAGATAAATATATTTATTTATGTATACATAAGAAAATGATGAGTGTACAGTCTAGTCATGTCGACCCGAGCTCTGGTCGTTACACGAGTATGAGATTCGATCAATTTTAAATAAATTATTTATTTTATCTACTTATTGTTTTATTTTATTCATGTAGGTTAAAAGGCAAACACCATGAATCTCAAAATAACTATATTTATAACCTGGAGTTAACAATCATACATAACAAATTAAATACAGTCTTACAAATTTCATGAATAATAAGTACACAGATCTAAAGGGAAAATAATTTTGAGCAAACATAAAAAAAGAAAAATCTTAAATTATATCACAATATACAGACATGGGTGCTGTCTCTTGCGCAGAAACGATATATAATATGTTAAATATGACACAAATATATGAGTTATCGATTAAAAGTAAGATTTGATTACTATAAATGAAAATACAATTTCATTAAATTAAGGCACTACATACTTTATTTTTAAACGCACATGAAAGAAATAATTCAAAATAATCTTTTATAACACAATCGACTAAGGAGATGAATTGTTATTACAATAATTACTCACAACTATTAACAGCATCGATTTATGTACAAGTATTCGATTAAATCAGGCGTAATTGTGATATGTGACAGATAATGTGTAAGTACGCAAAAGTGCCAGAAACATGCAATAACGAAAAACATCTCCGAGCACCCAAATACCACAACTTACATACTAAATCTTATTTAAATATATACACAAGGACTTGTTGTTTCAAAATCTCCATGGTGGTACAACAAAAACATATGTCATATGAGAACAATTTTAATACTTATAAAATCATAAAAATGAAATATTAAAATGTGTTTTGTTAGTCAGAGCGACGGGAATAAATAAATATTTTATTATCAGGATATTTCATTTCTTTTTTCCGCTCCGCAAATGACATCACATAAAATTTAATGTGGCTTTGTGATTTATCTGCAGTGACTTCCCAAAACTTACTTCAATGACAAATGCAATTAATACTTATAGTTGACTCAAAAGCTACAATTTAAAATAGTCTGGGCCACTTTGTTAGTCAGAAAAAAACGACAAGAAATGGTATGGTTCTTCATTTTTGCTTGCTAATCTCTGAAATGTAAAATACGGAATATTCGACCCACGATTTGAACAAAATCGACAACCACCGATTGATACATTTCAATTTCCCTTGCTTAGTCGTCGATGTTCGATATTATAATGTCCCTATAAACGAATTTCCGTCACAATATTGAGATCACTTCTACCGTCTTTAAGGAAACCATTCGATTTATTAGCACCAAATATCAAATCTATTATAAAACTCTCTATTTAGTGATAAGGTACAAGCGATAATTTTACAATGCTCTCGATCTATCTAAAATAACACTTGAAATTTAAAACTTTATAAATAGGAAATCAGTCGTTTAGATGAAACATTCGTAAATTGACCACAATCTACAAATTATAAAAATTTCAAAACAATGTGATTTACAATTAGCCTCGTACAGTTTAAAACATACAACCTATTCTGTGTCAAATTGACATAGTATATGTATCATATTATATAAAAATTTGACTTTTTTAGTTTTGTTATGTTATAAAATAATAAGAAATAATAAAATGTATATAATAGCGGTTTAGTGATGTAATTCAGTGATGATAGAAAACATTGGGTATAAATTTCAGCAGGCTGAGCGTAGACCTGAAAACTGCTGGCATTATTATGTTTTCTCAATAATTGGAAACCAATGAGCAAAATGTTTATAGCGCTTTTTAAAGGTAAACATTTATACTTTATCCCTTTACTATTTTAATACATATATAATATGCTATGACAATTATATATTATATTACGCAGAGAAATAAAATAAATTTAAATACATTATTATACATTATTGAACCATTTAATACTACAATTATTTTTATTTTGCGCTACACAAAGAGATGCCTCTTTGTGCTTTTATAGAAAACAGTAAGTAATTATGATTTAACTTCTTCTAAAATGATGTACGACTGTGAAATTTAAATAAGATGACACAATCAGCTTTATGTGCATTATATATTAGACAGTGCCGCACTATTGAGGTCGGAGCGACTCGCGTAGACTTTCAACAACTGGAAACACATTTTTTGCAGGCAACGGATACGACAACGCTCCGAAAATTCTGTTTTACACAGCTGGTCTATGACAAGGCTGAGGAGAAAAAAGAAACAGAACAGAGGGGCTCAGAGATTATAAAGCCAGTTTTTTAAAAGGAAAAAATTATAGTAATTTTTGGTTAACTGAACGCAATCCGTACGCATGGCCTGATTTATTCACAGGCTTATTAGGCTAGAGCCTAGGCCGCAAGGTTCGAGGGGACGCTGAGCTTGCTTTTGCAAGCACCAGTTATTTACAGAAAAAAATTTGGTATAATATTCGCAATAAATAATAGAGTAAGTGGCACTTACTCTATTATAAGCATTTTACTTGTTTTTTTTCCTCATTTTTGGTACAAAACAAACAAATAAATATATTGTAAAAATAAGAATATTAATTATTTGGTGCCTTTCGTCTTTCGTTAGCTGACGGGCTGTGATTGAAACATTTACGATTAAAAATAAACTAAACCACAGATATTCATAAAAGTAGAAAAATTAAAAAAGTTAAAAATTTGCAAAAAATTAAAGAGGCGTTGTTTTATGTATTAATATAATACTCTTGAAACTGGTAAACTTTTATTGAAAAACAACTTCTCAATTAAATTACATTGTGTAACATAAAACTTTACCACAGTGTCAACTAGCGACATCTGGTGAGCAGAAAATTATTAGCCCTCATTTAATTATTGTCTCTTTCCAAGGCTGTCCAAGACAACTTCTGTCAGCTATCTCTTCTATCGCTGCACAGGGAGGACGATTCACAGACCCATGCCGCAAAGGACACACGCAAAAAAAGAGCCTAAAAGGTCGGATTTAAATATTTTAGGCTCTTTTTTTGCGTCCAACTCTACTTTCTATGTCGGAGGAAACACACCGCCAAACACCTCGCAGTATGTGAGCTCCATGCCGGATATACGGTTAACACAGCTCCCAGCACGCAAAACACTCCTCTACCTGGACAACACAAGTCAAGTAGGACTGAAGGAGTCCCTCCTATTACACCGGTCTATGCGTTGCATAAATATGCCGGGACTAGCTTCAAGTGAAGTCGCACATTGTGTTCGGAGACTTTGTAGGAGCATAGAGAAGCTGGCCGCCGCGCCACCACACGCACTAGATCGCCGTGGGTATTCCGTACTCAGTGATATTATATTAAGTTGGGCGTAAACATAGATACAAATAAACAGTAAGTGAACAATAAAGAGAGCCCAGACATGTTAGGAACTATTATACGAGATTCAAGTTTTAAAACAAAATAATAGTTGTAAGACTATTTATGAAGGTTTTATTCACCTGAAAGGGCAAACAGGTACAATATATAAGTTATACAATATTTTAGGAAAATAGATTCCGCTGAAATGAATATTTGAATTTGTGCTGCTCAGAAAACTTTAAACACCTAATAAATTAATACAATAAGATCGATTATAGATGATACTAACAAACAGTACGCAACACAATATTTGACAAACTCATACGAATTTATTTTGTGACATGCCAGGATACTGACAGTGATATTCTCAATCGGTTCAGACAAAATAATGAGAATAATGCAATTCTTTTGTAGTCTGTAAAAAAACTTTAACTTTACATTGGCAATACATATATAAACTCAATGCTGCAACCGAACATATACACAATTCAATTAAGAACCACATTTAAAAATATTCACTTATTCGGTTCAACGAGCTGCTATCAAGAATAGTAACAATGTTTTGAAATAGTGAATAGATCAAAGGACGGATTTTATAATGGAGTTTCTGAATAATTCCAATTTTTTTTTAATTTTAATGCATAATTTCTAAACTTATTATCGCTTTCTTTCAGATTAGCGTATTTTCTCATTTAGCTGTTACTTGCGATACATAAAAATTTATCTTTGAATTCTTGGTAACCGCTCGTTAAAATAGACTTTAGTTTTCGATCGAATATTTTTTATAAAGCAGTTTTATTTTTAAAGGAATTTTAACAATGTTGATTATGGAGAAATGTAGTTGATAATCTATGAGTGAAGCAGATGAAGTGCTAATTCGACCATTAGGTATTATAATATTTTTAATATTTACTAGTATATATTTAGAATATTTACACCATCGATATCTTTATGTACATAGTTTGTTCGCACATTAAATTGGTTAGGCGGTATGTCTCGCCTATCAGCCTATGTCGTGAGATATTTCATTCGCTTATACAATGAGACGGAGGAACCGATATGACGATTAACCACAGATGATTCATGCTTCACAGTAAAATTATTGCCAATAAATATTATTTAGAAAAAAATTTACTTGAACTTAAACATTATTTCTGACTCAATGCAGTCGGGCAATAGTTTCGTTGTAATAAAAATACAAGTCATTCACAAATCAGCATAACGAAATTTTTAAAACCATGAAACATATTTACGCAAAAGGATCGGCTTGAATCGGCCAAATTTGCAGAGAAGGTTCAGAATAAGTAATATAAACAAATGGTGAAGAAAAATTAACTAAAAAAAATCTCTAACTTTCGGTCCTTTTTATCGTTTAGATTCAAAATTCGTGGTAATGCATTATTTTAACTGATTGTCATTCATAAATATCTAACGCCTACTATTTTACTACGCACTTAATCGTAAGAGTTGCTCGGTCGGCAAAAACGTTGTGAATTAAATCACACACAAAGGAGCGCACGTACGCGAAGTCGTTGCCCATAAATGACATTCGATTTGGGATAATTTCAAATAAAAGTAGAAACCTTATTTATTAAGTAAATAACCTATGGTGATTTTCCAAATTAGGAGTAATTTATATAACCACATGTTTTATTTACCGAAAAAAATCATGAACTGTAGGTTTAAAATTTGAATAATGAGATAACTAAAGAACGATACGTTTTAGAATATTTTGATAGTATTCTCTCAACCTAATTTATGCAAATTACTAATCCTTTATTTCCAAAATCAACAAAATCAATTAGAATCAAAGTTGCATAGAGT